CGGGACAGAGGCCCGCACTTGCACCGCAACTCAGCTTATAAACTCTCGATGGGTTTGTGAGGCCAGTAGGGATACTTCTTCATGTCCAACTTGGTTTCTGGGAAGGCCTCGTTCAAGTCCTCGATGGTCATCTGCTCAAATGGGATGATGTTCTTCATCTTCTCCAGCTGGAAGGGAGAGACAGTACTCAGGGCGACCGGGTCCCCAAGGAGAAAGGCACCCCAGCAGATACGCGGGGACAGAGCATGGGTGGCCACTGCTTACCTCCCTCTGGTACTCCTCAATCCTGGCCTTGGACATTGCCAGAAACTCATTACAGTTCTTCACCTGCACAAACACAAACAGTTCGGGAACCTGAACACGCTGGCCTGCCCCTGAGGCGGCCAAGGTCCGAGGAGTCCCTGAGCCCACGCCGGCAGCCCCCCCCCCACGCTCTGCAGGGGCTGTATGGCCCCCTCCTGGATGGGGCTGGGATCGGGGGTGTCACTTTTACTGCTTCCCCTGAACACCCAGAGAAACCCGTTCAGGACGAGCTTTGCAGGGAGCACTGAGTTCAGGGAGACTCTCAGGAGGCGGCCCTGGGGCCCACGTGCTTCCCAGAGGTTGGACACGCCACTTGGCCCACTAGCCAGACATCTCTAGGGGACTCTCCAACCTCCCTGCATCTGGAGACAACCCAGTTCTGAGCCGTGTCCTGCCCCAGACAGTTCCTTGAGAGGGTTTCTTGGGCGGAGTCAGGCGCTGGTTCCCCTCTGCTGACTTCTTTCACTTGGCACCATTATTTTGGGGTTATTCCTATTATTGCACTTGCTGGCAGCTTATTTATTTTGGCATGGGCTGTGGGGGGGGGGGGGGGAACACCAGACTGTGCTGGGGGTCAGTGGACAGTTTATTCTTTAATTCCCTCAACCTCATCTCAGCTACTCCAAAATACAGCGGGAAGCCCAGGGTAGAGACGGCCCAATACTCACATCCTCCTTCTCCTCGGCATCCACCTGGGCAGTGAATTTATCTTCAGGCACAGGGACCTTCAGGGCATTGAACTACAAAGACAGGAAAGAGAATAGCACCCGCGTACCCTCTGCGTGCCTGGGACCCAAAGCTACAAAGCCTTCCACATCTGTCTGTGGTTCTGACCACACCCAGTGGAGCTCCAGGCTCACTCTTGGCAGAGCAGATGCAATGCTGAGTAGGGAACCTGAGCTGGCAGTGTGCAAGGCCAGCGCTCGCCCCGCTGCACCCCAGCCCCTTCTGTTCAGATGATTTAAAATCCACGTTCTTGGGACCAGGGAGATGCGCAAAGGGCTGGAACACAAGCGGGAAGGCCCAGGGTCGACCCTTCACACCAGAAAACCTATATTCACCATCCGAAGGGTAAACAACGCTGCATCAGGGGGTCCAGAGCAGCACCTGGGGAGCCCCGCCCCTAGACCGCAGACCCTGACGATGGGAAGAGTGGGGCTTCTTCCCCTGAAGAGGCCAGGGGTTGCCGACCTCACACATGGACACAGAACTCACAGAACTCCCCAGAAATTCTAGTTTTCCTCTCTTAAGTGAAACCCAAGCAAACTGACTGGCAGAGCACTCTGGAGCCGATGGAGAGGGTCACCCTAACACTGCTGAGTGGGGCAGTCCTCAGCAGACTCAGAGCAAGACCCTGAGAATGAGCTCTGGATACCCAGAAGTGATTGTTACATGGAGCAGGAGACAAAGGCCGAGAAAGGAAGGAAAACGGGACGAGGGGGAAAAGGATGGCAGTCTGCTCCGAGGGAACATGAGGGGGTTTGGGAGGACTCTAAGGGGCCGGAGACAGCACAGCAGGGAGGGCATCTGCCTTGTATGCGGCCAATCCGGGTTCGACCCCAGCATCCCAGATGACCGAGTCGGAATCCTCCCTCCACAGCATGTACCCAGGTAAAGTTCAATCTCCGTCCGACCATGGGTTCTGCGCTCACCATCTAAAGGTTGTGATGAGTGTGTCATTACCCACGAGTGCCCGCACCCGCTGACTGGCCTCACCTTCTTTTCAAAGTCATCGACCAAGCCGGCCTTCGCCACGTTGGCCTTGTAGTAAGCCCAGTCGATGGCGGGTGGTTTCTCGGGGAGGTTGGCCAGCCTGTGCTCAAGGAAAAGCAGAAGTCACACAAGTTCCCCACGACCCGAGCCCTGATTCCTCTGGTCTGGAACGCATGTTCTCCAGGAGGAAGATCACAGGAATTTCTTTGTCTGTCTATCTGTCTCTCCCTCCCTCCCTCCTCTCTCTCACACACACGCTTTCTCTCTTTTGCTCTCAGACTCTCAGATTACATTTCAACTTTGAGCAGTACGAATCCACCTCTAACTCCAAAGCTATTTCAGCTCCATATTCAGGGCAAAGGTGCCCCCTCAAACAGGCACTGACCTGGAGGAGAGGGTCTCGTTCCAGGACTTCAGGGAGTTAGCAATGGCCTTCTGGTTTCGGGGGATGATCTCCCCAAAGGCGATCCAGTCGATGGTTTTCAGAGCAAGTTTTCGCCCGGCCATCTCGAGATCCTGAGATCCTGCAAAATATAATGATGAGATCAAAATTGGCCTTTTGGGGCGCTGGAGCGATAGCACAGCGGGAAGGGCGTTTGTCTTGCATGTGGCCGACCTGGGTTCGATTCCCAGTATCCCATATGGTCCCCTGAGCATGCCAAGAGTAATCCCTGAGTGCAAAGCCAGGAATAACCCCTGTGCATCGCTGGGTATGACCCAAAAAGCAAAAACAAAACAAAACAAAAAACCTGGCCTTTCTTAGAGGAGGCCCAGCACCGTTGATCAGAGATAACACTAGGGGTACAAAACGGATGGAAGGATGACAAACCCGCAGCCATCAATTACAAAGGGACATTCTGGAGTGGGAGGGGGTGTGAGGGGAGGGGGCCAGCTGGGAGGCAAAAAGCACTAGACCAGAAGATTTGTAGAACCAGTGCGAGGATGTGGGATGGGGTGCTGAAGATGTGGTAAGTTTGCACATCAAAACCATAAGTATTTAACACTATCAGAGCTGTGTAATTTAAACAAAAAAAAAGGAGCTTAGAGAGAATCAGCTAAAGACGCTCCTAAACCAATGTACCTGCCAGACCCCTTCCAGAAGAAAAACCACTCAGCACACTCCGGACACCCCCTCCTCTAGGCGAGCAAACCAACCCCCAAGTGATTCCAGGCCTGCACCAAATATCCCCACTCTGGGAAACAGTGCTCGCCGGGCCACGAATGGAATTCACGCTGGCGTCTATGGGCCTGATCCTCTGAGCACTTGGGTAGTATGTTAATGTTAATAAAGTGCAGACAAAACAAAGGGTCAGACAATAATACAGCAGGGAGGGCATTTGCCTTGCATGCCGCCAACTTGGGTTCCATCCCCAGCATTCCAGGAGTGATTCCTGAGTGCAGAGCCAGGAGTATCCCCTGAGCATCACCAGGTGTGACCCAAAAAGCCAAAAATAAAAACAAAAAAAGGAAAAGAAAAGAAAAAACAATTCGGCCCATGTCCTCCTCCTGTCTTCCAACTCCTAATCATCCACGAATGCCCCATTCAGGATTACTCTCCACATACCTCTGGAACAAAGCACAGTAATCCTCATGCCATGGACCAAAGTCTGCAATTTAAAACACGTTCCCACTCGGATCGCATGTGCATCTCTGATTCTCCAGCGCACAACACTAAGTTTCCACAAGGTTGACTTAAAAAGCACAAAGGCTAGGCCAGAACTTCCTTATGCAGATAACATCCCCCCAACACACACACACACACACACACACACACACACACACACACACACACACAAATTTCCACAGAAGGCGGTTAAGGAGTCAATTTAGGGCTAGGGAGAAAATACAGCAGGTAGGGTTCTTACCTTCAAGGGATTCACTCCCTGGCCCCCCATTGGGTCTCTGAGCACTGCTGGGAGTGACTCCTGAGCTCAGAGCCAGGAGCCAGCACTACCTTGTGTAGCCCCCAAAACAAATTACCAACGGGGTGGGGGATGAAGAAGCCGCCTAGAGGTGACAGGGACAGTGATGGGGACTGAAACGAAGGGGCAGAAACTTCGGACATCAAAGCCACAAACGTTACCACCACCGTCACCATGTTTTGAACTACAAAAAAAATTATTTTTAATCATGATTTTCCTTTTGGCCACGCCTTGGAGTGCTCGGTGCTTACTCCCGGCTCTGCGCTCAGGTCAGCCGTGTATCGCTCCAGCCCCACGAACCAGAGGAGAATTTTAAAAAGCCCACCCAGAAGCCCAAGTTCCTTACAACCTTCTAGAAGCTGCCCACAAGGGCGAAGCCCCCTGCCCCGGCTCTTCGCAAAAAAGACCCTGGTGCGGCCGCGCCGGGTTTCGAGGCCCATTTAGCCCCGATTGCCCCCGAGGCGGACAGGCCACCCCCGCGCTGCGCCCCCCACTCCAAGGCTGGACGCTCCTGCTCCCGGGAGCTGCTGGCCCGGCCGTCCTTCGCGGGCACCGGGCGACGCGGGGTGAGGACCGGGCGACGCGGGGTGAGGGCCGGCCCCGGGGTCACCCCGCGACCTCGCTCGCGGGGGAGGGGAGAGGCCGGCGCGGGACGCGGAGGAAACCGCCGGCGGCTCCCAGCGAGGTAATTCAACCAACGGGCCACGCAAAGTCCGACGTGGCGACAGAAGCAAGTGACCCCCGGCCCCAAGGCTCGCGCCCCGGGCCCCAAAGCTCACTCACCTTCACCGACCCCGACGGCCGAGAGTCCACGGCAGAACTAACGGAAGTGGGTCACCGGAAGCTCTCCCCTCAGCCAATTCCAAAATGAAGGAGACGCCCCCTGACGCGCAGATCAGCCAATAGAAATGGCGAGACCGTGACGGAAGTCCCTCCCTCGGAGGCGGGCACCTCACCTCCCCCTCCCGGCTCTCCGGGCTCTGGTTGGAGGGCGCTCCCGTCCTTCTCCTTCGGCCCCACCCCCGCGGATGGGCCGGCCCGGCTCTCCCTGCCGAGGGATGGGCCGGCCCGGCGGCGCGCGGGCAGCGGTGGCGGCGGCGGCGGCCGCGGTGGGGGCCCAAGATGGCGGAGCTGCAGCTGGACCCGGCCATGGCGGGGCTGGGCGGGGGCGGCGGCAGCGGGCTGGGTGACGCGGGCCCGGGCCGCGGCCCCCCGAGCCCGCGCCCCGCTGGCCCCACGCCCCGCGGCCACGCTCGCCCGGCGGCCGCCGCGCAGCCGCTGGAGCCGGGGCCGGGGCCGCCCGAGCGCGCGGGGGGCGGCGCGGCGCGCTGGGTCCGGCTCAACGTGGGCGGCACCTACTTCGTGACCACCCGGCAGACCCTGGGCCGGGAGCCCAAGTCCTTCCTCTGCCGCCTCTGCTGCCAGGAGGACCCGGAGCTGGACTCGGACAAGGTGCGCCCCGCCCTCGGGCGCGCCCCCGGCCCGCGCGCCCCCGCGCCGGCGACGCGGCCCGGGACGTGCCCCCCGCCCCGCGCCCCGCGACCCCCGGTCCTCCCTGGCCGCCCGCGAGCGTGGCCGCGGAACTGGGTCAGGGTCAGCCGAGGCACCCGGGAGGCGGCGCCCATCTCCTCCCGGACCCCCGAGCCCGCGGGCGGGTGGGCACCGGGGGCCCGCGGCGGCCTGCGGGGCCCGAGTGGACATCCCCTGCCCTCCTCGCGGAGAACTGACCGTCTGCCGGCGCGGCCGAGGCTGGCTGGCTAAGACCGAGGAGGGGGGATGATGAGAATGAAGATTGTTTACTGGGCCGAGCGGTGACAGGACGCTGCGTCTCCCCCGGGAGCAGTTGGAGCTGGGTTTTTTTTTTTTTTTTATCTCTACAGACTGGCTTTTTGCGGGAGATTGGGGGCCACATCAGCGGTGTGTGGGGCTTTTTCGTGGCTCTGCACTCAGGGATCACTCCCGGCTGGGATTGGGAGCACGTGGGGTGCTGGGAATGACGCCCTGGTCATCCCGGGGCCCTAGTTTGACTTAAGGCCCTTGTACATTCTTCCCGTCCCATCCCACCTGCGCTGGCCAGAGCGAGCCCTGCCCGGGAGCGTCAGCAACACTCACCCGTCACCTCCCGAGAGTTGGCAAAGTTTTGTCGCTTTCGTTTGTGGGTCTCTTGCCTGCAGTAACTTGGTGCCCTTTTTTTTGTGGTTGTTGAACCACGCCCAGTGGTGCTTGGGGACTTCTCTTGGGGTGCTTGGCGCTCTTCCCAGCAGTGCCAGAGGTCTGAGTGGCCTCGGGATTGAATGTGGGGCTCCCCGGGTAAGGCGTCACCACTACCCGGACTTGGAGGAGTTCCCCGGTGCTTACCCGGGCATTGTTTTTCATTGTTTTTCATCCCATCCCCTCATCCACTCCCCCACCCCCCCACACACATCTTAGCAGTAGCTGGAGCCAGTTTCTGTTTGTGCCTTTACTGTAAAGATGAGTAGGATTCAGGTTGCAGAGAGCCAAGTCCGGGCAGTGCCAGGCTTCCCCTGGGCACAGAGATGGGGCGAGTGAGATTACAGCTGGCAGTGCAGACTTGCACCGATGCTGGCCCTGCGTGCCAGAGCATTGCCAACCAAACAGAGGTTTCTTAGAATTACAAATGTGATTCCGGGGCAGGAGGGAAGCCAGAATGTCAGCTCAAGCAAAGGTGTGAGCCATGCAGTGATGGCATTTGCTTTCCAGCGGTAAACCAGCACCTACCTGGTGCCTGGTGCTGGGAGGTGGGTGTGACTCGGGTGAAAAGGACCTTCTGCCTGCATAGCGAATGCTCCAGCCCTTTGAACTCATTCCTGACCCCTTCCTTCCCTTTGTTTTTTGTGGGGGGGGGGCACACCTCACGATGCTGAAGAGTTACGCCTGGCTCTGTGCTCAGGATTCACTCCCAAGCAGTGCTCAGGGAACCAGTGGGATGCCGGGATTCGAACCTGGGTCGGCCATGTGCTCGGCTAGCACCTCTTGCTATCCTACGCTCCGGCCCCTTCCTCCCTTTTTCAGTAACATTTTTCCCGCAGATGAATCTTGGGGAGGTCCCAAGGAGAGCTACACTTTCATGGGAACGCCGGGCTGTGCCTGACTGCCGTCTGTAACCCAGCCTGGCCTGCCCTCTCAGGAGCGGGTGGCGCAAAGGGTTTGGTCCTCTCAGTGTCGTGGTGATTCCTTGTGTTTGTCGGCAGGATGAAACGGGGGCCTACCTGATTGACAGGGACCCCACCTACTTTGGTCCCATCCTGAACTACCTCCGCCACGGGAAGCTCATTATTACCAAGGAGCTGGCCGAAGAAGGTGAGCGCGGGCAGGGCCGGGCACACGTTCATCCTGCTTGTTTTGGGGTCACATCAGGTACTCCTGGCTCTTGGGGTGCCATGAGGTTGACCCCAGAGCATCTTTGCTAAGCCATGCTTCTGCGTGGCGCCCTCCCCCAGGACCCTGGGGTAGGGGTTATGGAAGTGAGGGGCCTCTACTAGGTCACCGGTCTGTCAGGCTCTGTTGAGCCTTCTTGGGGGGGGCCGGGGGCTGGAGAGCCATACCTGGCGGCACTTGGCAGCTCTGAACTCAGGGCTCACTCCTGGTAGTGCTCCGGGGTTGAACTGGGGACTCCCGAGAGGCTCAGTTCACTCTTTTCTTTTTGTTATGTTTTTTGTTTTGGTTTGGAGGCCACACCCGGTGGTGCCCAGGGCTGACTCCTGGCTCAGGGATCACTCCTGGTGGGCTCAGGGCACCACTTGGGGGATGGAACTTCAGTTGGCTACATGCAAGGCACATACCCTCCCCATTGTATTAATTGCTCTGGCCCTTCTCTCCACCACTCCCCTCCCCTCCTCCCCTCTCCCCTCCCCTCTCCTCTCTTCTCATGTCCTCCCCACTGTACTGTCGCTCCAGCCCTCCTCTCTCCCTCTTCCTTTTCTTCCTCTCTGCCACTCCTAGAAGTGCTCAGGGCTTACTCCTGGCTCTGCACTCAGCGGCCATCTGTGGGGTCGCACCGGGTTGTGGCTGCTTGCCCGGCAAGCTCCCATCCATCGCGCTGTTGTCCCCCTGCCCCTTCCCAGGAGCTCTTCCTGTGACAGCCTCCTAAGGAGACAGCTTGGGGGCTCGGCGTTTTCTTGGCCCCGCGACCACCCGCTGCCTTTCCACCTTTCCCAGTGCTGGCCGCGAGTGTCCGTAGCCCCAGCCACGTGTCTGTGACATTTAGTTATTTCTATTTTCAGTGGCAGTTAGAACTTGCAGCTGTTAAAAAAAAATTAATAATAAAGGCTTGGCCCCATTTCTTTGAAGACGGTCTCGTGCTTCCTTGCCAGTCTCCGCGGCTGACCCAGTTCCTTCCCCAGCCGCTGTCCAGTGCCTCACCGGCTGGCGGGTCCTGGTGACTCGCCGGGCATTTGGGCTCAGTAGGTCTTCAATGTCTTTTGAAAAGCCCTGCTGACAGCTTCGGTGAAGATTGGTGTCCCCTGACTCCAGGGCAGCGACTTGGGTGCCAGGAGCACTCAGTGCCCAGCGTGGCTGGAGCTCCTTCCTCCCACCTGGAGAGCAGAACTCGCTCTGTCCTCCTGGAGAGCAGGGCTTGCTCTGCCTTCAGGGCCATGGCTAGAAGGTAGATTGAGCCGGGGCCGGAGTGATGCAGGGTGCTAGCCTCGCACACAGCCGGCCTGGGGTCCACCCCGGCACCCCATAAGGACCCCTGAGCTGGGCCAGGAGTGATCGCTGAGCTCAGAGCCAGAAGTAAGCCTTGAGCAATGCCAGGTATGGCCCCCCCAAGAAACAAAAGCAGATTTATCGGTTTGGGGTCTTTCCTGTTGCCAGGGAGTGACCCAGAGTCTCACACGTGTGAGTCTGGTGTTCTCATCAGCCACATGCCTCGCCCCTGAAAAAAAAAATTGTTTGATTTTGCGCCACACCTGGCGGTGTCCAGGGATTACTCCTGGCCCTGTGCTCAGGGATTGTTCCTGGTGTACTTGGGGACCACATGTGATCACACCTGGGTGGGCCATGTACACGGTTCTTGCCCTGTGCTGTATCTCTGGCCAAGAGTAGAATATTTGCACTTGGATAAGTTTGGTTTGGGGGGTCCTGCAGTGTTGGAGATGCAGGCTGGGGGGCCCAGCTTTAAGGACATCTGCCTGGGCCCCAAGGATATCTCCTGTCACAGTGATTGGGGTAGAATCTTACTGAGAAATACTGGGGGTACGGGTGTTGGGGGCATACCTGACGGTGCCCAGGACTCCTGGCTCTGTGCTCAGTGGCCGTTTCTGCTGGTGCTTCAGGGACCATACATGGTACCAGGGGTCTGTCTCTGGCATCGGCTACGCATAAGGCATTCACCCACCTGCTGCCCAGCCCGAAGTAAGCATCTCCATCTATGGGTTGTGTTCTGGATTTTGTCCAGTAATAGGCTTTTTGGATGTTTTGTCCACACTTGACTGAGCTCAGGGCTTACTCCTGACTCTGTGCTCGGGGACTAGGGGGCCGTATCGGGCGCCAGAGACCAAACCCAGGCAAGCACCATGCCTGCTCTGCTGTCACTTCTGGCCCAGTGAGGCACTTGTTTCAGGTGTGGGGGGAGCCACCACTGACGGTGCTTGGGTGCTTGGGGGCTGCTCCCACACAGTGCTGAGGGGCCATGGGTTGCCAGGGGCCCGGCTCAGGACTCCCTCCTGCCGAACTGCACCAAGCCCTGTGCGCCATCGCCTGGCTCCAGGCTGTCTTTCTGGCTCCTTGTCCCCTGGCCCAGGAGCACAGGCACCATTGGTGGCTCTCACAGTCCTCCCGTGCGGCCAGCGGGCGAGTGTCTCAGCACTGGCCATTCCAGACGGTGATTCGCCCATTGGCTCAGTCCCTCACCCCATCAGCTCTGGGGCAGACCCAATGGCAATGAGCCAGTGATGGATTCTGGGGTGGGGAAGGTGTCTGGCGAGAATGCCAGGTGGGCTGGTGTTGGGGGTACACCTTTCCCTTCGTAGGCAGCCAGAGAGCGGGTCGGGCACCTCACCCCCTTCCTCTTGTCTTCCCAGGTGTGCTGGAGGAAGCAGAGTTCTACAATATCGCATCCCTCGTGCGGCTGGTCAAGGAGAGGATCCGGGACAATGAGAACAGAACCTCACAGGTAATGGGGCCTCTAGCATGGCCACCCACCCAGCAAGGAGGATCAGGGAGGGTTCGGAGGGCTGGGTGAGAGCACCATCTCCCCAGAGAGTTGTGGGCTGTGGTCAGCGCCAGGATGCAAAGAAAAGACAGATGGGGCTGGAGCGAGGAGGGCGTTTGCCTTTTACGCGGCCGAACAGAGTTCAGTCCCCAGCATCCCATATGGTTCCCCAAGCACCGCCAGAGTAACCCCTGAGCATCGCTGGGTGTGACCCAAAAAGGAAAAAAAAAGGCAAAATAAAAGAAAAATATTAAAGACAGAGATGACCAGGTTCGGGCTGCAGCCCTGGCACCACAGATGCCAGGAGTAAGGACTGCCAGGAATAAGGACTGAGCACAGCCGGGTGTGCCCTCTCCCCCCACCAAAAAAAAAAAGGTAAAGGTAAAGGTAAAGGCCCTCCCGTTGATCGTCGATTTGCTCGAGCGGGCCCAGTAACGTCTCCATTGGAGACTTTGTTGTTACTGTGTCTGGCATATCGAATACTCTCGGTAGCTTGCCGGGCTCTCCGAGAGGGGCGGAGGAATCGAACTCGGGTCGGCCATGTTGACATACAAAAAAAAAAAACCGGAAGAAAATAAACCTCGGGGCTGGAGCGATAGCACAGCGGGTAGGGTGTTTGCCTTGCATGTGGCCAACCCGGGTTCAATTCCCAGCATCTCATATGGTCCCCTGAGCACTGCCAGGAGTGATTCCTGAGTGCAGAGCCAGGAGTAACCCCTGAGCATTGCCGGGTGTGACCCAAAAAGCCAAAAAAAAAAAAAGGAAAGAAAATTTTTCTCCCAAATTCCAGAGAGCAGTGGGCGGTCCGGGCTCCGGCTGGGCACCAGGCAGGAAGCCCAGGGCAGTTCAGGCCACAGACCTGTTTTTCCTGGACTCTGCACCCCCCACAGCTTGTGTTCACCAACCAGAATGGGGTTTTGTTTGGGGGGCAGCAGTGGTAGGGGGGAGTTGGGGCTACACCCAGCTCAGGCTGTGTGCTTACTCCTGGCAGGGTTCGTGGAACCCTTTGTAGTGTCAGAGATCGAACCCAGGTCTGCCACGTATAAGGCCAGCGCCCTTCATCCTCCGGGTGGTTTGCCCTTCTGGTGAACATGGGCCCAGATTGGGCTCTCAGCCCCCCTCACCCGGCCTGGGTGTCATCACTCCAGAAGGCCGGTGCCCTCATGGAGCTTGAGGCTGGCAGGGAAGGGCCTGTGCAGTGCCTGCCCCTATGCTGGGATCTGTTCCCGGAAGGGCTGGGGCGGGGGCGAACGGGACCCCGCTGTGACCATCTGCCTCTGGCGGTGGAGACTGCCGGCCAGAGTGAGAGTCTTGGCCTCTTTGTGAGTTTGTGCCTGGTGATGAGGTCATACTTAGTGGTGCTCAGGGGACCCTGTGGAAGGCCGGGGACGAACCCCAGCTCAGCTGCACGCCAGGCACGCACCCTCCCCGTTGTCCTGTGGCCCCGGCCCCCTGCTCCTGTCTGTGTTAAGCGTCTCAATGGGGTCCTGGGTGAGAACCGGGAACCTTGCGCTTAGAGGCTCGAGAGTGGCCCCTGCCTGTTTGCCCCCGCTGCTGATGCAGGTGGGAGGAGTGGCGGGCTCGCTCCCCCACCCTCTGCGCCCTCCCAGCTGAAGGTGCTGTGCAGGTTGCCATGGCCCAGGGCAGCGTGTCACCTGCCATTCTGTGACAGCTGCGTGTCCCCGGTCTTGCTGTGTCTGGACTCTGTGGCGCTGGCATTGGTCTCTAAGGATCTAGCCCTGACCCCTGTCGTCTGGGAAAAAACAAACACTTTTTTTTGGGGGGGCGGGGTCACACCCGGCGATGCATGGGTTTCTCCTGGCTCATGCACTCAGAAATTACTCCTGGCCGTGCTCAGGGGACCATATGGGATGCCGGGGAATTGAACCTCAGGTCTGATGCGTGCAAGGCAAATGCCCTACCCACTGTACTATTGCTCCAGCCCCAAAACAAACACTTTTTTGCTGGGCCAGGAAGATGGGACAGTGGCAGGCAAGGATGCGGTCCCCAGCACCACATCTGATTCCCTGAGCACTGCCGGGAATGAGCCCTGGGCACTGCTAGGTATGACCCCAAAACCAAACCAAACCTACCAAAGTAACTGTGTGGTTTGGGGTAACACTGAGCCCTGGCTCAGGAGGGACCCCTGGCCGTGTGCTGGGGCCGTAAGTGGTGCCGGGGATTCAGATTGGGGAGGAGGGGAGAGGTGCAAGGGATACCTTCACCATTATCATTTCTCTTTGGGCCCTGAAAATACTTTTTTTTTTTTACTTTTATTTATTGGGGGGAGTAGGGATTGGGCCACAACCATTGATGGGGTGGGTTGTGGGGGGAGAGGCAGTGGCCATGTGCAAGGCAAACTCCTGAACCCTTGTATTGTCCTGTAGAGCTTCCGGTGCACTTGGAGGCCCTGCAGCCCCAGGAGGCCTCTAGAGTTCTCAGCTCTTGGCTGAGCTCTGTTGGACGAGTGACTGTCAGGCCTGAGCCCCATGCTACCGACAGGCTTTTTACTCCCGGACTGTTGAGACTTTCTTGGTTTTGGCATTTGGGCTCGCTTGGCAGTGCTCAGGGCTTACTCCCAGCTCCTGGCTCTGCACTCAGGGATCACTCCTGGCCAGCTTGGGCCCATACGGAACCCAGGTCAGCTGCATGCAAGGCCAGAATCCAGCCCTTTGCACTCTCTCCAGCCCAGCTTCGTGTCCAGTCTGTCCTCTGTCCTCCATGTGGGCTGACCCCCAGAGTGACTGGACCATGGTGTTCAGAGAACCCCTCACCTTCTGTTGCCCTCTGCTCTGAGCTGAAGTTGGCCTTGTGTACATTTTGTTTATTCTGTATTTTGGTTTGGGGCCACACCCAAACAGTTCTCAGGGGTCACTCCTGGCTCTGCACTCAGGAATCACTCCTGGCGGTGCTCGAGACCGTAGGGGATACCAGGGATTGAACTCAGGCCCGCCTCAAGGAAGACCAGTGCCCTCCCTACTGTCCTGTTGCTCCTGCTCCCTTGTGTAAAATTAATGAGTTAGTTTCACTGTGTGTGTGTGGGGGGGGGGCCTGAACTCCCACCACCAGGCCTGTGCTCTACCCCTGAGCCACACTCCCAGCCCCTCACCCTCTCATCTGTTTACTAAAGGAAGCAGATCATCTTTTTTTTTTTTTTCCCTTGACCAGACCCAGCAGCGCTCAGGGGTTCCTTAAGGAACTATGTGGTGCCAGGGCAGGAGCCCAGACCCGCCGCGCGCACGCACGCGTGTGTGTGTGTGTATAGAATTCCTATTTTTCATTATTTTCCCATAACACTGTCCAAGGGTAACCCCAAAATACAGTTGTGTCCAGCACCAGTGCCCAAGCAGAGCGCCAGGTGACTCCCATCCACACCAGCCTCTCTCCTCTGAGGATGTGGCTCTCCATGCGGCTGCCCCCACTGGAGCCTGGCTAGTCCCCCGGAGTTCAGGGTTAATGTATCCACGGGGTTCACCACCTTGGGCTTTTTTTTTTCTTCTTTTTCTTTCTAGCAGTGTTCAGGGGTTACTTCTGGCTCAGCACTCAGGACTTACCCTGGTAGTGCTTGGGGGAACCAACTGGGATGCTGAGAATCGAACCCAGGTCTGCCGCGAGCAAGGCCAGCGCCCTCCCCGCTGTGCTGCTGCTCTGGCCGCTCGGCACTTCCTGAGCAAATACGTGTGTGCCTCGGTTCTCGCGTCCTCGCACTGCTGCTTCTGAGTCTCTGGTCGTTGCAGGGGCCTGTGAAGCACGTGTACCGCGTGCTGCAGTGCCAGGAGGAAGAGCTCACGCAGATGGTCTCCACCATGTCCGACGGCTGGAAATTCGAGCAGGTGAGCCTGGGAGCATGGCCCGAGTATATGCTGGGCGTGGGGGTCTGATCAGGGGGTTTTGCCTTTGGAGCATACTCAGAGAGCATCGGGAGCTACTCCCCACTTGGTGTCTCGGGTGTGTTCCTGGTGCTTGGGGGGACCATGTGGGGCCGAGACCTCACCTGACCTGCATGTGCAGCATTCGCCATGTCTCTGGCTGCTGTGCCGGGGATCCAACCCAGGCCTCACATACATGCAAGGCATGTGCATGTAATCCTGTGGGCCACGGCCAGCAGCGCATCAGGGGACCATGCGTTGCTGGGGATGAGACCCAGGTTCCTGCATGTGGAGTCCCCATTCCGGCCTGGTGAGCCACCCCCTGCCCCACAGGCACGCTCTGAGCGATCCCGAGCCACAACCAATGGACACCGGGAGTTCGGGGACTAAACTTGGATCCTGTTCAAAAGCGAAGGGCAAACAGCCACTCCTGTGGCTGTGCTGAGTGACAGGAATGAGAATCCGACCGTTGCCCTGCGTGGTACCCAGAGTTTCCCCTTGCTTGTGCCCAGAGGGAGCTGGCCAGCTTGTTTTGCTTGAGAGTCTTTTTGTTTGTTTTCCGTTTCGGCCACCCCGGCTGCACTCCCACTCACCTATGGCGCTGCTCTCAGAATCACTCCTGGTGGGGCTTGGCAGGGGCCATTCGAAGTGCCAGGGATTGAACCTGGGCTCCAGCCCCTTGGCCTAACATCCCTTTTCCCTTCTCAAAAGTGCTCTTTAACCCTATGTATTTGAAGATGACTAGAATTTTCTGGTGGGGAGGGAAAGCAGGGAAGTGTCCCTTAGTGGTGCTTACAGGAACATATGCAATGTTGGGGATTTGAACCAGGGTCCGGCAGGATGCGAGGCAGACACCTTCCCACCCCTCTCAACCAGTTCCTTGACCCCAAAAACTGGTGTTCAGTACCCCATTTCTTTCCTTGCCAGAGCACGAGGGGTGTGTGTATGTGTGTGTGTGTGTGTGTGTGAGAGAGAGAGAGAGAGAGAGAGAGAGAGTGATGAACGATGAGCGCACAGTGAATGCACGAGGGATGTGAGGGAGACTGGGACACAACCAAATGTGGCCTGGAAGTTCCCATCCGCTACTGAGGGAACCAAAGAAACCAGGAGGCGGAGCAGTGCTGTTTCCTTCCAGTAGGTGGCGGTGTTGTTCATCTTTTGTCTCCAAATCCCAGGCTGCCATTAAACTCGTATGTGGATCATGCCCCTTTTATATGGAGTTTATGAATTCCCTCAAACTCTGACCACACACTTACACCTGCAAAGGTAACAGTTACTCTATTAAAATTGTCTGTATTTCCACTAAAGGTAACAGTGTACATTAGAGCCAGACAGAAGTGTGGGTAGCCCTTCCCTTCTCCTGCCTCTGCTGTGGCTCACAAAATGTTCCCATGTTTCCAATTGAAAGTATTTTCCGTAGGGCCAGGACAAAGGGCAGAGGTTGGCCCTGCCGAGCAACGCCTGTGCCGGGTTTGAATCCTGGTGCCTTGTGGGCCCCCCCCCCCCCAGTACTGCCTGCCTGAGTCCCATTGCCTCCTCATGCTTTGCCTCTCTGCTGCCTTTGGCAAGAGTCAGGTGCCAGTTATGGGCAGAACTCAGGTCTTTGGCCAGAGTGGCTTCTGCGATGACGCCCTGCTGTGTCCCTGGGGTCCATGATCCCCGAGCTCCAGAGAGTCCATCCTTTCAGGAGCAGAAGGAACAAGTGTACAGATTTCAGCCCTGCCTCCTAGGACAAGCCGCTGCTCAGACTGAAGGCAGACATGGTGGCTGACACGCTGCCCTGGGGTGCGGTGCTCCAGGCTTGGGTGCTGTATGTGCTCCAGGCTTAGGTGCTGTGTGTACTCCAGGCCCGGGTGCTGTGCTCTAGGCCCTGGGTGCGGTGTTCTGGGCTTGGTTGCTGTGCTCCAGGTGCAGTGCTCCAGGCTTGGGTACTGTTCTTCAGGCTCCAGGTGAGGTGCTCCAGGCTTGGGTGCAGTGATCCAGGCCCCAGATACTGTGCTCTGGACTCTGGGTATGGTGCTCACCATACTTTCTCTCCCCAGCTCATCAGCATCGGCTCCTCCTACAACTACGGCAACGAGGACCAGGCCGAGTTCCTATGTGTGGTCTCCCGAGAGCTGAACAACTCCACCAATGGCATCGTCATCGAGCCCAGTGAGAAGGCAAAGGTGAGTTCATCGAAATGGCCTTTTTTGGGCGGGAGATTGTCTCAAGAGAAAAGACATTGGGTGGTTTTGTGACTTTTTCCCCGTGTTACCTGAAAATTGTGGCGCCTTTATCTTACTGTTCTGGTGGTTGGGCCCCATTGGCAGTGTTGAGGCCACACCTGGCAGTGCTCAGGGGCTACTCCCAGCATGGGTGGGGGCCTCCACCCTGGGTTCCAGTACCCTGGTGCTGAGGGGGAGCCCAGCCCCCACCTCTTTTCCTCCCCACTCTGCCCCTCCCAAGGCAGCAGCCCCATCCCCACCCCGAGTCACCAGTTTGGTGCCCCTAGACTTCTTCCTTTATTTGGGGGGTTCCTAAGCAGTGCTTGTGGCCCCGTCAGCGTTTCCCAGCCAAGGGATGAGGGTGGGGGTCAGTGCAGGGTCCTGAGGCTGTGGGAATTCCCAGCTGCCTCCTGTTAGTGCTCCCCTTGTGGCGCCTTCTCAGCATGCGCCCTGGCTGCCAACCTATCCTGCGGGGAGCACTGGCCCCAGGGAGCCCTTCACCCCCGGGATTACCATGAGTGCTTGCTCGCCGGGCTCTGGCCCCTCCGGGAGCTGCACTGCCGTGGTCCAAGCCCAGCTCCGCTGTGTTGCAGATTCTCCAGGAGCGCGGGTCGCGGATGTGACGTGGAGCTGGTGGAGCGCCCTCTGCAGGCGCTGCTGGGATGCGCACCCGCACTGCACCACCGCGCGCCTGCCTGGCGGGGAAAGGCCGCGGTCCAGACCGGAGACGGCCATCCCACCCCCGGGGGCAGACGGCAGCTGCTGCACACCACCTCGGTCCCCCGCTTTGTCTCCTTAGCCAGTGTTAGCGCAGATCCTGCTCCCGCCCACCCGCGAGCAGAGCCGAGGGGAGCCCAGCCGCCAAACGCGGGCTCCCCTTGCCGTGCAACCCCAGAGCCGCGGGGGCAGCCGACCGGCCCGCGGAGTTGACTCGCAGTTGGGACAGAGGACAGTGGCCGGAGCGGCCGACTCCTGCGGACAATGAGCTGGTGAGCTGGGCCGTGGCCGCGGAAATGGGGCTGCTCTGGATTGGGGCGCCCGGCGGTCACTTGATCTCATTGTCTCCTGCAGCCTGGACAGACGGAGGGACGATCAGACAGACGGACAGAGAGGCGGACAGACTGCTCAGCACCCCCTTCCCCTCCAGTTGGCCGGTCTCCCCTCCCCGGCCTCCTAGAGGTCAGGGGCAAAGGGACTCTGGAAGCTCCAGCTGGGGAGGTGTTTCTTTGACAAGTTGCCAATGTGTTTTATTGTAACCAAAAGTATTGTTATTTCTGTGCTTGTCTCTTGGAAATGCGGCTGGGTGTGTTGTCTGTGTCTCTTCATGGTTCCCGAGTTGGGCATCTAGTGCTTTTGCTGTGGGGGCAGTTGGGGGAGTCTGGAGGCCAGGCCCCCACTTCCGGCAATGACCTCGGGGCTGCTGAGCTTCTGCTGAGCATCCACGGGATGCCAAGGGGCTGCCAGGGCCCAGGCGGCTTGGTCTTTGCCTGGAGGCTTTCACTCCAGCCATGGGGGTGGGACCCTGGGGAACACCTTCCAGACAGTCCTGCTGCCCCCAGCGCTATACCAGGCTGTGTTGGGATAGGACAGAGCTGAGCCCGGGAGTGCCCTTCCCCAATACTCCCCTCCTGAGGCAGCACAGCCAGGTGTGCAGGAGGTGCTCCCCAGAGTGCTCCACAGCCCAAGCCAGCCACACACACCCAGGGCAGAGCTGCTGCCACAACAAAATCCTGTCCCCTGTCGGGGAGGGGGAAGGGTGGGGTTCACCAGGGATGGCCAGGAAGCTGCACAGTGCAGAGAGGCGCTTCCCTGGGGCAGGGTCTTCAGCTTGCTCAGGCAGCGCCCTCCCTGGCTCGCCGAGCCCCTTCGGAACTGGAGGGCAGCAAACCCAGGTCCCCTAAGACCACCGCACCACGTGCCCCCCTCCTCAAAACCTCTTCCCTGTGGGAAAGTCAGTGGGGCCCCCACTCACCAGCCCCCCAGTCTCGAACCCCCCCTCTCTCTCCCCCAGGCTGAGGCTGGGAGTGGGTAGGCCAGGGCCTTGGGGGCGCCCCCACCCCCCTCACCTGTCCCGCTCCTCAGAAGCTGCACTTCGGGGGCGGGCCTTTCGCCCCCCGCCCCCCCAGCCTCCACCTAGTCTCTGTGCTGTAGGCCAGGTGGTGGGAGGAGGAGTGGGGGGAACCCCTGGTCCAGCCCACTTGGATGGATCCTGAGGGCTGGCACAGGCCCTCAGGCACCCTTTGTCACCAGTTAGGCTTGCATCCAGCCTGAGATAAAGATCTGAGATGATATAGCAGGGAGGGCGCTTACCTGAGCACAGGTAACCTGGGTTCCATCCCCGGCACACCAGAGTCCCCCAGCTCTGCCAGGAGTGACCCCTGAGCACCCACCAAAGGTGGCCCAAAACAGAAAGAAAGAAGACTGCTCAGGACAGAGAATTGCAGCAGTTCCCGCGCCGCAAGCTCCACAGGTCCTGCTGCCACCAGATTGCCCAGCAGTCTCTGGAGACCGGTCAAGGCCTCTGCCGAGGACCTCCTCACTCCGCTGCTCCATAGCCCGCGTGGGTCGCCCCAGGGCCCAGGAGAACCAGGGAGGGAGCTGGGAAACCGCACCGCATCTGGGGGCACCGTGCTCTGGAGATGTGGAACAGCCTCATGACATGAAGGCAAACAGGAGGCCCTGCCAGCATGGGGGAGGCGGGGACACCCCGCAGGGTTCTCCCTGAGAAGAGCAAGCCCTGAGCTCCCCCAGGCGTCGCCCCCAAACCCAGATGAGGAAGGGAAGCGGCCGGGATGTGTCACCCTTGGGGGCTGAGTTGGGAGCTCAGTCGCTGCTCCCTGTGCCCAGCAGGGGAAAGAGGCTGGAGGCGCAGTTTCTGGAGGGGGCACATCACTCCAGGGCTCCCCCAGCGCAAGCAGGGGTGGCCTTTGCCTTCTTACTAGCTCTTCTTTCTTCAGTGATGGGGTTCGCACCGATAACTGGGCACTCTGCCCCTGCACTATCTGGGGCCCTTCCGCCCTGGAGAAACTGTTTCTTCACACAGTTGTTTTAGGGCACAAACCCCTTTCTCCTCAGACCTTGTTGGGCAGGCAACACCCACTGCACCCAGCACTTGGGCAGCCTGGACCCTGGCAGAGTCAACACAGACCCTGACCCCCTGCCCACATGCCGTGACCCCGCACCCTGTGCCGCCAGCACTCTGCTCCAGGCTGGCCACATTGCCCTACCAGGACTGATTTCCCGAGCACAGAGCCAGGAGTAACCCGAGTATAGTATGCCAGGACTGATTCCCAAGCACAGAGCCAGGAGTAACCCCTGAATATCGCCAGGACTGTTTCCCAAGCACAGAGCCAGGAGTAACCCCCAAGTATAATATGCCAGGACTGATTCCCAAGTATAGAACCAGGAGTAACCCCTGAGTATCGCCAGGTGACCTCCCAAAAAAGCAACCTTTACCAAATAGGGGCCAGCCCCGTGTGTGGTGCTCAGCACACCTCCCCTCCCCGCCCCCGTCCCCACGGCACCCACACCCTCACCCGCTCTCGTGCAGCTGGCAGAGCGGAGCATCCTCCGAGGCGCCTGCGTGGCTCGGCTATGCTGGGCTGGGAGTGGGTGGGGGGCTTCGGTGCATGGAGCTAAAGACGGCTGAGAGCTGGTGGCACAGGCGGCTGAGAATCCCCTTTGTCCAGTGTCTCTCAGGCCTCACCTTCCCTCCGGACAGCCCTGTGCTCCCTGGACACTGTCGCCCCAGACTGCCTCTGAACGGAAGCTGAGCTGAGTTGGAGTGGGGTAGGGGCAAGCATGAGCCCCCTGAAAGCTACTCGGGGCTGGGGGTGTCCAGCTTCGCTGAGACTTTTTACATTGCTGACACATGTGTAAGAGGTGGGGGTTCAGGCTTTGCATGCAGGGCCCCAAGTAACCCCCAGAGGAACCAAAGATCCCTCAGCACTGCCAGGTGTGGGGAAATGGGGCTAGAGCACCTGTACAGCAGATGTTTGGGTGTTCTCCCTGTGTATGGCCGACCCAGCATCCCTTAAGAGTGACTCCTGAGTGTAGAGCCAGGAGTAAGCCCCCAAACCCACAACTCTTCTGTTGGAAATGAAACAGCAATTTTGTGTTTTGGGGTCACGCTCGGCGGTTGGGCACACAACGTTCCAATGTCACTCCACCGTCATAGCCTCTCCTAATGACCCAATGATTCAGGGTCCCCTCCCGCCCTCACCGCACCCCCTTGGCAAACCTTAACATAAAAGTGACTTGTTACTGTTTGGGTTACAGTAGTGGTGATACTTACGCTTGGATGGACTCCATCAGGAGTCATTTTAATGTTTTTTGGGGGGCCACACCCAGCGGTGTTCAGGCCACTCCTGGCTTTGTTCTCAGGGGCCACACTGGCAGTCCCGTATTTAATTTTTTTTTTGGTGGGGCCACACCTGGCAATGCCGGGGCCAAGTGGCTCTGTGCCCGGAATCTCTCCTGGCGTGGCTCTCAGAAGCCTATGCAGTGCCGGGGATCGAACCCAGATCAGCCATGGACAAGGCAAGTGCCCTCCCGGCTTGCTATCTCTCCGAGAAGCCTTGCAAGGACTCGGGTGCACAGTTGTGTCTCCCATCTCTATTTCCTTTTTCTTTTTGGTTTCGGGGCCACACCCAGCAATGCTTAGGGGTTACTCCTGGCTGTGCTCAGGGGACCATATCAAATGCTGAGGATCGAAGCTGGGTCATCTGTGGCCAAGGCAAGCCCCCTACCCGTTGAACTATCACTCCAGTCCCTCCCATTTCTATTTCTGCATTTATGTATTTTTTTCTTGATGTCTCACTAGTTTATTCATTTTCTTTCTTTTCACAAATAAATGTTCTTAGTTTAGATCATTGTATTATATCATTCTGGCCACATTCTCTTTTGGGGGGCGGGGGACATCCTAGGCAATGCTGGAGAGTTGTTCCTGGACCAGTGCTCAAGGCTTGCTGCTGGTGGTGCTCAGATGTGGCAGGGGCAGGCGTGAGACCACTGCCTCAGAGCACGCTGGATCATGCTGAGCTCTCTCCCCGGACCCCTCTCCCGTCCTGTGGGAGAGACGGATGAGAGCTCAGAGGCTGGAGCCCACGGTTAGTGTGTTGATGCTCTGATTTTTCTTTTTTTTTCTTTTTGAGTCTAACCCACAAGGGTTGCACAGGGGTTACTCCTGCCTCTGCACTCCAGAATTACTCCTGGCTATGCTCGGGGTACCATATGGGATGCTGGGAATCAACCCGGGTTGGCCTCTTGCAAGGCAAATGCCCTACCTACTGTGCTATTGCTCCAACCCCGAAAGCCCTGATTTCGATCCATGGCACCACATGGAGCAATGCCAGGAGTGATTAAACGCATGAACACACACACACAAATAATCCATCTTAGACAATGAAGAACAAATTCAACCCGAGTAAATGAAAAGAACAGAAATAATAAAGAGCAGAACATGACAAGGACTTTACATAAAAGAAAATTTATGGAGCTGGAGCGACAGGACAGCAGGGAGGGCATTTGCCTTGTACAGGACTGACCCAACTTCAATCTCCAGCATCCCATATGGTCCCCCAGCACTGCCAGGAGTGACCTATGAGCATCACTGGGTGTGACCTCCTGCAAACAAAATTTACAGGGCTGGAATGATAGTACAGTGGAGAGGGAGCTTGTTTTGAATGCGGTTGGCCCTAATTTGATCACTGGCACCTCATATGGTCCCCCCAGGCTCTACCAGGAGTGATCCCTGAGTATGAGGAGTCATCCCTGAACACCTCTGGGTCTTGTCCCCCCCAAAAAAATTAGTTTAAAATGATAGTACAGTGGGTAGCACAACCCAGGCTCGATCCACAGCACTCCATATGGTCCCTGGAGCCCCACTAGCAGTGATCCCTGAGTGCAGAGCCAGGAGGCAGCCCTGAGCATCACCGGGGGTGACCCCAAAACAAAAAAGAAATCAACCATAAAACCCATTCAAGATTATAGATGCAAAAATTCTAAGAAAATGCTAGAGGGGGTCAGAGAGATGGTACAAGGGTCCAGGTGGTTGCCTGGTATGGAGCCCACCCCAGCTCACCACAAAGGGTCCCCCAAACACCACAAGGAGTGACCCCCGACCCTAGAGCCTGCTGGGGCGAGCCCAAATCCCTCCCCCCGAAATGCTACCAAATCAGATGGAGCAAAGCCTGTGTAAACACCTGACACAGGGCTGGGTCAGAGCTCATGCCCAGCATACACAGCGCCCCAGGACTACTCCCAGGACCCCCAAATGACCCCCAAAAGCATGGCCCTGCTGACCCCCAAGTCCGGCCCTCTGAGCCACCTCTCTGCGTCCTTTGCAAGGTGAAGGCAGATTCGCCCTCACTGTTCCCGGCAGGCTGGTTCTCCCAGGCAGCCCCGAGGCGAGTTTGGTGGCCTGCACATTAGGGCACCTGCCTGCACACGACCACAAGTTCCATCCCTGTCACGGGCCTCGGTGCCAAGTCATCCTGGCGGCTGTGCTGGGTGTCCCTGGCACCATGGCCTGTGTCTGAATGACCTGAGGCCAGGCATGTTGGAGCCCCCAGATCAAAGGCGTTCCTCAGCTGTGCAGCCTGTGCCAGCCACTGCTAGAAGGGCAACGCCTGACTCGTGTGTGAGCGGCGAAATGGGCACCCCACGCAGGACAGAGGGGCCCCCAAGGGCTTCTCCCCGCAATACCCCGGTCAGTGCTTGTGGTCCAGGTGCCCAAGCAGTGCGGGGAGACACGGGTGGGGGTGGGGTTGCTTGTTTGCTCACCGGGTTTAGTGAAACAAGATTTTTACTGAATGACATTGACTTAGAAAGACATAGGGGGAACCATAGTAAATTGGGGAGGGTGTCTGCCTTGCATGTGGTGGACCCAGGTTCCATCCCCAGCATCCCATAGGATCCCTGAAGGGTGCTGGGAGTAATCTCTAAATGCAGAGTAAGGAGTAAACCCTGAGCATTGCCAGGTGTGGCCCAAAAACTTTAAAAAACAAAAGGCGTGGTCCTGGAGCAATAGCACAGCAGGTAGGGTGTTTTGCCTTGCATGCGGCTGACCCAGGTTCGATTCCCAGCACCCCATCTGGTCCCCGAGCACCGCCAGGAGTAATTTCTGAGTGTGGAGCCAAGAGTAACCCCTGAGCATCGCCGGGTGTGGCCAAAAAGAAATAATAATAATAATAATAATAATAATAATAAATAAAAGACATGAGGGAAGAGCAAGAAATGGATAGAGGATACGTGTGAGAGAACCCGGGCTTGTCCAGAGTGGAGAAAGTGAGCAAGCAAAGACACGTGCTCACGGGCGAACTCAGGCTTGGAAGAACAAGCCTTTAATTTTTTTTTCTCTGTTGTTTTTTTGGTTCATACCTGATTGTGCTCAGGACTTGCTTACTGCTGGCTCTGTGCTCAGGAATCACTCCTAAAAATACCTGGAGAACCTTATGTGGTACCAGGGATCAAACCCAGCTCTGCCACATGTAAGGCAAGTGCCCTCCCCACTGTGCTTTCCACTCTGGTCTGGGAGCACATACTTGATTTTGCGTGCCAGAAGCCTGGATTCTATCCCCTGAGCACCAGGTTTAGTGAAGCAAGATTTTTACAAATGACATTGACTTAGAAAGACGTAGGGGAGCCATAGTACATTGGGGAGAACATTTGCCTTGCATGTGGTGGGGCCAGGTTCAATCCCCAGCACTCCATAGGATCCCCGAAGGGTGCTGGGAGTAATCCCTAAGTGCAGAATAAGGAGTAACCCCTGGGGGTGTCCCCAAAACCAACCAAATATAACTGATTAAAAATAATGGGACTGGCAAGATAGTACAGTGGTTAAGGCACTTGCCTTGCATATGGCCAACCCGGGTTCAATCCAGGCACCCCGCAGAGTCCCCTGAGCATCGCCAAAAACAAAAATTCCAGCACCGCACGGACAACCCTCCATCGCCCAGGACTGACCCCCTACAGAAACTGCCGCAAACGTCAAACTTAAAGGAGTACATTGATGCTGTTTAAGATGGGAGTGAGCTGCTCTGAGGACTGGTTCCAAGCTCATCAAAGAGGTCCAGAGGGCTCTGTACTGGACACTGGTCACTGTACTGGCCACTGGCCAGGCCTTTGTCCTGTTATCTGGAGAAGAGACACCGACGTGAAGAAACTGAGACAGGAGTGTCCCTGCTGCCTCTTGCTTCATCTCTCCCTCCTGAGAAGCAGCCAGGCTGAAGGCAGAGCAAGCTCCCAGCTCTGATCGACGGTCCAGATGACCCAGCACTGGCCCCAGAAGGTGCCAAGACGCCAGGCGGTCACAGGACAGTGCCGAGGTGCAGGTTGCAGTTACTGCCCGCTGCCCAGCTTCCCTGCAGTGCCTGGGGTGGTGTATGGAGGTCAGCACTGCCTGGGGTAGGCTGGACTTAGTCCCCACACACACACCTGCTCCTGGCCCCTAATGATGTCACAAGCAGACACAGGTGACAGTTGAATAGTGACATCAGGGAGCAAGCCAGGGACAAGCTCATGGGGCCCTCAGTACAGCAGGAAAGGGGAGGGGGCCCAGCCACCCAGGGGGGCTGCAGTGACTGAGCTGACTCTGGAGGACCCTCCCAGCCACAGGGTGGGGGTCTGGCGCCTGAGCCCCCGTTCTTTCTCTCCCTCCCACCCGAGGGCCGCCATGCCTCTGCCTCTCCCTGATGTGCAGAAGAGCTCACGTGAGTACCCAGGCACCTTCGCCCAGAGAGCCCGGTGTACCTCCTTCCTCTTCTCATGGGGGGAGTGGGGGAGGGGGGGCCTCTTTTCCCCCAGCCATTTTCTATTCTAGGAACTTTTCCCAGAGATCTCAACATTACCCACCACCCACACCCCGTCATGCCTGCACCCCAGGGCCCTCAGGGGCTCCCAGGGGCCGAGTGCACCCCTCAAGACCAACTCCATTCCAGCCCTGGCCTCAACCTGGCTTGGCTCCGTCCCCCCAGGGCTGAACCTGGAGCCCACCCCCGCCCTGCCGCCCAGACGCCCCCCGGACCCTGCAGATGGCAGCAGTCAAGCCCAGGTAGTCTGTTCCATCTGCCTGGACGTGTTCCGTCAGCCGGTCACCACAGCCTGCGGCCACAGCTTCTGCATGACGTGCCTGCACAGCTTCTGGGACCACCAGGCCAGTCTGGGCGAGACCCTTTCCTGCCCGCGCTGCTGGCAGAGCTTCCCGGCCCGGCCGTACCTCAGCGAGGACGTCCTCCTGGAGGAGCTGGTGGGCTCTGGAGGCGGGGCCGCGGGGGCCTCGCGGGACCTCGCGCCCTGCGGCTTCTGCGGCCCCCAGAAGCTACAGTCAGGCCCGCAGGGTGAGGCCTCCCGGGACGACAAACACCTGCTCGGCCACAGCGATGACCAGCTCCTCAGGGACCACCAGCTGCTGGAGCCCGCGTGCCCCCAGCACCGCCAGCTGCTGCAGCTCTTCTGCCGCACGGACGGCTGCTGCTTGTGCCACGCATGTCTGCAAGAGGGGCACAAGGGCCACGACACCGTCCCCATGGAGGAGGAGCGCGCCAGCAAGGAGGTGGGAGGGGGCTGCCCGGTGGGAGGCAGCAGAGCGTGGCCCTTGCCGTCCAGGGAGGGCCCCTGCATGCCGTTCCTCCACGCCGCCAGGAGGCACTCCTGAGCACTTACACCCCACCCCGCCCCCACACCCACCCCCGCGTCAAGCGCCCCCCCCCCCCCCCCCCCCGCATGCCCTCCAAAGCCCAACTCAGGAGGCTTATTTCCTAGGAGCTAAGAAGCGGGGTCATGCCAGGCAGGGCGTTAGTGAGTTCCCTGAAGCTGGCTCCCAAGCTGGGTGGACATGGCTGATGACAGAGGCATAATGTCTGGATTTTAAAAGTCTGGTTTAAAAAAAAAAGTGGGGGGGCTGGACCGATAGCATAGCGGGTAGGGCGTTTGCCTTGCACGCAGCCAACATGACCGACACAGGTTCGATTCCCAGCACCCCATATGGTCCCCCGAGCACCGCCAGGAGCAATTCCTGAGTGCATGAGCCAGGAGTAACCCCTGAGCATCGCCGGGTGTGACCCAAAAACCAAAAAAAAAAAAAAAGTGGGGACTGGAAAGATAGTACAGCAGATAGGGCATTTGACTTGCCGACCCGGCTTCGATCCCCGGCATCACATATGTTCCCCCAAGCACCATCAGGAGTTATTCCTGAGTGCAGAACCTAAGCCCTCCATGCGGCTGACCTGGGTTTGATCTCCTGCGTCCCCTATAATCCCCCGAGCACTGCCAGGAGTAATTCCTGAGTATAGAGCCAGGAGTCTGCCCTGAGCACCATCAGGTGTGGCCCAAAAGTCAAAAGGCAGAAAAGAAAGATCATGTAGTGAGTTTCTTTGGTCTGGCTCATCACCCACCAGCTCACTGAGGCACCTGACTAGACCTTAGAAAGAGCGAAGAGGGGCCGGAGCAACAGGGCAGCGGGGAGGGCGCTTGCTCTGCTTGGGCCAGCCCAGTTTCATTCCACCATCCCAGGCGGTCCCTTGAACACAACCAGGGGAAATTCCTAAGTACAGAGCCAGGAGTCAGCCTGAGCATCACCAGGTGTGGCCCCCAGTCAAACAAACAAGAGCCAAGATTGATCCTAGCAGAGCAATAGGACAGCGGGGAGGGCACTTGGCTTGCAAGCGACCAACCCAGGTTCAATCCCTGGCATCCCCTGAGCACCGCCAGGAGCAATGCCTGAGTATGGCTTGAGTGTGGGAGCAGGAGTGAGCCCTGCCCATTACTAGTGTGACCCAAAAACTAAAAAAATTTAAAAAGGCCTGTGTGGGGGGTGGATGAAGAACTTGCAGTTCTGGCCACACCTGGCGCTCGGTTGTGGAGACTCCCTCTGTGTGCCCTTCCCCACCCCACGGCCCCTTCCTCGGTGCCACTCTTTCTGGGATGCGCTAGCCAGGCAGGTCTCCGCAGTGCCCTGGCTGGGCACTGCCCTGATCCCGGGGCTCCCCTGCAGGCTGAAGTGCGGAAGGAGCAGGCCAACGTGGGGAACAAGATGCTGATCATCTCCGAGGATAGCCAGCAGCACCGTGGGCGAGTGGCCGCACTCTCGGTCAGGGTCCCTCCACCCTGCCCTGGGCGCCCCCAGAACCCCATTCTGGGTGCCCCCAGCACCCCGCCCCGGGCGCTCCCAGCACCCTGCCCTGGGATCCCCAGTGCCCTGTCTCAGGCTGCCCCACAACCCTGCCCTAGATGCCCCCAGCACCCTGCCCGGGATCCCCAGTACCCTTCCCAGGCTCCCCCAGTACCTGGGTACCCCAGCACCCCGCCCCGGGGTTCCCCAGCACCCTGTCTCAGGCTCCCCCGGAATACCCAGGCACCCCCAGCACCTGGGTGCCCCTGGACCCCACCCCAGACACCCCCAGCACCCCGTCCTGTAATCAGCAGAACACTTGAGGCCCAGGTGGAGAGAGGGAGGCCCAGCAGGCAATTTGGGACCCAGAGCTGGAGAGATGATAGTCCAGCGGGCAGGGCGTTGACCTTGCTCGCAGCTGACCCAGGTTTGGTTCCCAGCACTCCATTCCCCGGAGCCCCGCCAGGAGTGATCCCCGAGTGCAGAGCCCGGAGTCACACGGGAGATCAGAGGCAGCTCCGGGCTGGGCCCGTGGGGCACTCGGGGGGCTCGGCTGTACCCCTCGCCTGCTTTCCCCACCCCCAGAAACTGGTCCGCATGGCCCGAGAGGAGGTCAACAGCTGCTTCCTGGACATCATCCAGGAGGTCAAAGAGCTGCAGCTGAGGGTCCTGGACTTCCTGGAGCAGGAGAAGCTGGAGTCCCTCGGGCAGCTGGACAGCTCCATCCAGCAGAGCCGTAACCGCCTGCGACAGCTGGAGGAAGATAGCCGTGGGCTCCGGGCACTGCTCGGCCACCCCAGCAACCACGAGTTCCTTCAGGCCAGACGCCCTTCCCGACCTTCAGGCGCCCCCTGCACGCACGTGCCCCCAGCCCTGCGCTTCTGTCCTGCGGTTCCCCAGACAGCCTCAGCCTTTTGGGTTTTCTTCAGGCCACTCCCAGCTAAATGCTCAGGGGACCGTGTGGCCTTGGGGATAGAACCCGAGTGTCCAGTCCTCGGAACCAGCTCAACCTTATCTTTTTTTTTCTTTTTGGGTCACACCCAGCGATGCTCAGGGGTTACTCTTGGCTTTACACTCAGGAATGACTCCTGGTGCTGCTGGGGGACCATATGGGATACTGGGAATTGAACCCAGGTCAGCCACATGCAAGGCTGCCCTACCCGCTGTGCTATCGCTCCAGCCCCTCAGCCTTATCTTTGTTGTGTGTTTTGGGGCCACACCTCACGGTGCTCAGGGTTGATTTCTGGCTTTGTGCTCAAGGGTCACTCCCAGAAGTGCTCAGGGGACCCTATGGGGTGCCACGGATGGAACTGGGTTGGCTGAGTGTGAGCAAACCCCTCCCTGCTGGACTGTGGCCCCAGCCCCTCAGTCTCTGCGTGGTCTGCCTTCATTTCCCTGGAACTATCTGGGGGCGGGGACGCCCTAGGATTTGGGCATCTCACACCAGTGCGCACTGGCTCTCCCTCCTCCCAGGGAGCCCTGATGTGGCCCCCAAATCTGCTCTGCTGCCCCTGGCACTGGCCTGCCCATGGCAGGGCTCCTGGCTCGGGTCCAGAGCCCACGGCACATCCATGCGGGTGTCCCAGGTTCCCCCTGGCCCCCACATGCCACAGGAAGCATTTGGAAAGATTTTGCTGCTAGCAGCGAAAAGTTCAGAGAAACACTGCCCCACCCCCACAATCTCTCCTGGATGGGGATGGGGACACTCCCAAGCAGTGCTCTCAGTACCACACCCCCACCCAGAGCCAGATGGTCCCTGGGAGGGCAAATGTGCACTGACCATCGCATGGCTCAGACCCAGCCCTGCGGGGACCACCAGGATCAGCCTGCTAGGGGGTTGGGGGTCCTCAGGGCCACATGAGGCTGGGGTTTGAATTCAGGTCCCCACGCGCAGCAAGCATGCACTAGCCTAGGAAGAGGGCTTGGAGGGCTGGTGGTGGACATGCCCTCCCTGTCGGACATCCGGATTCAACGGTCATGGACCCCCCAAGCACAGCTGAGAGTAGCCCCTGAGCAGTGCTGGGTATGAGTCCCACCCCCAAAATAAAAGCCTTCTGGACTCCTCAGCCCTCTCCCCGTCATTTTTAAAACCCTTCTTGGGCTGGAGAGATGGCACGTGGCAGACCTGGGTTCCATCCAGGAACCCCATAGGACCCCCCAAACCCCCCCCAGGGTGATCCCTGAGTGCAGAGTCAGAGGTCAGCCCTGAGCACCATGGGTGTGTGACACCCTAACTGAAACACAACTAAAAAGACCATCTTTGGGGGTCGGAGTGATGGTACAGTGCAGACAGCACTTGCCCTTGCCTGCAGGGCATCCCATAAGGTCCCTTGAGCCCCATCAGGAGTTGGGTGTGCCCGCCCCCCCCCCAAAAAAAGAAACTGACCCTTTCTGCCTAATGCACTAGGCCATGGAACTGTGCCAAATTCCAGGTGCCTCAAGTGCAAACTTCCAAGAGGAGGTGCAGGGGGGTCCGAGGAGGGCAGGCTTGGAAGCGGGCCCCTTCCCCACCTGTCCTGCCCTGGGGACACCGAGCCCCAGAAGCTCAGGACTCACGACTGCTGCTGGGCCCTCTCTGCTTCCAGGCGTTCCCCAGACTCAAGCAGAGCCCTGAGTCCCAGGCCTCATTGCTGGGCATCAAGTGTGAGGACCAGGAGAGCTTCCCGCAGCTGCGCGACACCTTGGCAGAGCTCCGGAGAGGGCTGCGGGAAACGGGCCTCAGTTTCCTCAACCAGCTGCTGCTCAAGGGTCAGTCTGCATGGCACGGGGGCTGGAAAGGCAGCTGGGCACTGGTGCATCTTCCCCAGGCAACGCCGCCTCCAGGAAGGCCGTGGAGGATGCCGGGCTAAGGTTTGGTCCTGATCCAGTCCCTCTCCTTCCCACCCTTGCCCAGGCATCAAGATGAGCTGTTACGAGGTGCTGCCTGGCCCTGTGGACAGGAAGACACTGATGCAGTGTGAGGCTTCAGCCCTGGGGTCCAGCCCCACACTCGGGAAGGGAGGGAGGAGGGCCAGGGTGCTCGGCTGGCCCAGCCCCACGTGACCTGTGTCAGGGCTGCAAGGAGCAAGGTCCTGAGGCTGAAGCCATCGCACAGCCGGGAGGGCCAGCCTCGCGCGGCCAGCCAGGTTCAATCCCTGACATCCCATGTGGTTCCAGAGCACCGCCAGGGGTAACCCTTGAGCATCTCCAGGTGCCCCCCCCCAATTTTTTTGAAAAGGAAGTCCTCCTTGTCCTCACCCGTGCCCAGAAATCTCAAGTGACTTGGCCTGGCCTGGACTCAACCTCGGTCCAGCCCACAGGCCTCTCTCAGCCGCCAGCCCTGGCCCTAGGTGGCCACCTCTGCCCTCAGCTGGCTTGCCCCCTGCTACCCTGCCCACCCCACCCCATCAGCTGCTGGACGTGAATGACCCAGTGACCCTCCTGGGAACTCCCTTCCCCGGGGGGCTGGACTCTGGTCAAGTCGGGGAGCCCTGCCCTGGCCCCATCTCCATCCTGGGGTCCTGCACGGATCAGAGCGGAGCTGTGAGGGCTGGGAGAGGAGTGAGAAGCCTCAGTGCTTGCTCGGTCTGCAGGGCTCAGTGCTTGCTCGCGTCACAGGATTCAGTGCTCACTTGGTCTATAGGGCTCAGTGCTCACTCGGTCTGCGGGGCTCAGTGCTCACTCGTATCATAGGATTCAGTGCTCGCTCAGTCTGCCGGGCTCAGTACTTGCTCGGTCTGTAGGGCTCAGTGCTCACTCGGTCTGCGGGGCTTAAGTACTCACTCGGTCTACGGGGCTCAGTGCTCACTCAGTCTGCGGGGCTCAGTGCTCGCTCGGTCTGCGGGGCTCCGGGCCCATCCCGGGTACCATATGGTGGCCCCCTAAGTATTTCTTCTTTTGTTTATTTTTGGGCCACACCCAGCGGTGCTCAGGGCTCACCCCCAGCTCTGCACTTAGGTTTCACTCTTGGTGGTGCTTGGGGAACTCTATGGGGTGCTGGGAATCGAACCCAGGCTAGCTGCATGCAAGGCAAATGCCCTCCCTGCTTTACTATCACTTTGTTCCCCAGGAAAGGGGAGGCTCCTCAGGCTGGGAGACTAGCTGGGGGGCTGCTTGTCTTCCACTAGAAATGGCAGCTTGGGGCTGGAGCCATAACACAGCACGCAGCCCACCTGGATTCCATCCCTCAGGACCGCACATGGTCCTCTGAGCCCTGCCAGGAGGGATCCCTGAGCACAGCCAGGTGTGGCCTCCCAAAATAAAATTATTTTTATTTTGCTTTTTGTTTTCCTTTTGTGGGTCACACCCAGCAATGCTCAGGGGTTACTCCTGGCTTTGCACTCAGGAATTACTCCTGGCGGTGCTCAGGGGACCATATGGGATGCCGGGGATTGAACCCCAGTCGGCTGCGTGCAAGGCAAACACCCTACCCGCTGTCCTATCACTCTGGTCCTATTTTGCTTTTTATCTGGGGGGAGGGATCACACCCAGTGATGCTCAGGGGTTGCTCTGGCTCTGCACTCTGGAATCACTCCCGGCAGTGCTCTGGGGACCCTATGAGATGCTGGGGATCAAACCCGGGTTGGCCATGTGCAAGGCAAACACCCTACCCACTGTGCTATCATTCCAGCCCCAAAATTAATTAATTAATTAACTAATTAATTAATCCTTTTTTGGCCACACTCGGTGATGGATGCTCAGGGGTTACTCCTGGCTCTGCACTCATACTCCTGGAGGTGCTCAGCGGGGGGGGGGGGGGGGGGGCGGCAGACACGGGACTATATGGGATGTCAGCGATCAAACCTGGGTCAGCTGCGTGCAAGGCAAATGGCAAATGCGCTCCTTGCTCTACTCCAGCCTAATAATTTACTTTTATGGGTTTTTTTTCTTTTCCTTTTTCTTTTTGTTTCTGGGCTACCCCCAACCCCCAATGATGCTTAGGGTTAACTCCCGGCTCTGTGCTAAGGAATCACTTCTGGCAAGGGGACTAGAAACCAGGGATGGACCACTGGGCCGGCTGAGAGCTCAGCCCTAGGAGATTGTCCATCTGGCTGCGGGTTCTTGGGGAGGTGTCCCCCTGGGGGGGAAGGCGCAGGGCGGGTGGGGGGTGCTGGCCCTGGGCTCCCACGGCCCCTCTCCCCGCAGGGTACTGCAACCTGAGCTTCGACCCCAGCGCGGCCAGCGATGAGCTGCTGCTGTTCCCGGAGGCGCACTCGGTGCTGAACCTGGGCGTGGTACTGGCGCAGCGGCCCACGGGCCCCCTGGGCGGCTTTACGCAGTGGCCGCAGGCACTGTGCTCGCCAGGCCTGTCCGAGGGCCGCCACTACTGGGAGGCCGACGTGCCCGACGCGTGGGTGTGCGTGGGAGTGACCGCGCGCCGCGCGCCCCCCGCATCCCCACGCCGGCCCGTCGTGTGCCTGCTGGGCCGCAACCCCGACTCGTGGTGCCTTGAGTGGGACTCGCTCGAGTTCGCGGCGTGGACGGACAACACGCGCACGGCGCTGCGCGGCCGCTACTACCGCACGCTGGGCGTGGCGCTGGACTGCGCGGCCGGCTGCTTGTCCTTCTATGGTGTGGCCGGCGGCGTGGACCTGCTCTACCGCTTCCTGGCCGCCTTCCCGCGGCCGCTCTACCCCGCCGTGATGGTCAGCGGCGGCGCCTCGGTCACGCTTAGGCAGCGGCCGGACGTGCCACAGTAGGCCCGGGAATGCCCACAGCACCAAGAAAGCAAAAAAGAAACGTTTGGCCGTGCAATCCGAAGTTAATAGAAGGGCGATGGAGTCAGTTGGAGTTCCCAGCGGCCCCAGGGCTGGAAGGGCTCCAGATGTGGGTGGGAGGTGAGAGGGTTGGAGGGTGATCGCTTCCCTCCCATCCCCCAGATCCAATTCGTAACCTTGGTTGGTGCTCCAGACTGGCCCTGGCCACTCTGAACCACAGTGGGTACCCAGGGGCAGATCACCAAAGGTTTCCAGAGCTGAGAATGGGAGGTTGAACCCGCCCAACCCCAGGGGGCAGAAGCAGGGAGCCCAGGAAGATGAGTTTAGCTAGGCTGGAGGGTCCAGGGCTACATTAGGGATTAAGGTGTGTACCCCCATAACGAAAGTGGGAGAGCTTGGGTCCAGGCAGGGACTGGCACTGCTGTCTCTGCTAGCCATAGACACTGTATCCCTGAGGCCTTGTGTGGGTGGGGGTGGGGAAAGCCTTAAGCACCCTGGTCAGTGAAGCTGTGAAGCAAGAGCAATAGCACAGCGGGGAGGGCGCTTGCCTTGCTGAGCAGGTTTGATTCCAGCATCCCATATAGTTCCCTGAGTCCCACCAGGAGTGATCCCTGAGTGCAGAGCCAGGAGTCAGCCCCGAGCAGGCTATAATGATAATAGTAATAATAATATCATTATTAACCCCCCTGCACCCGCCCCGAGCCCTCAGCCCTCAGCTCTGGGCCTGGAGCAAAGGCACGTCCTCCGCCCTCCGGCAGGCCAGGTGGGTATGTGCCAGTGTGCTCCAGGGGACAGGTACCCATCAGACCACGGGCCTGTCACCTGCATGCACGTGACTCCAGACAGCTGGTCGCAGCCCCCCTCCCCCCATTCCAGCTTCAGCCAGCTCCTGGGCCCTTTTTGAGGGTGTCTCTTGGGCAGGTTAATAATTGTCTCTGGAGAGGAAATAACGGCAGTGGCGGGGGCGGGGGGAGCCCCAAGGCCAGGCCAGGCTGCAGAACTAGGAGAATTCCTTCTCTGTCCCCACCAGCCAGACGCCCCGCCTTCCCCAGGCGCCAGCCCAGCAGGCACTGCGTCTGGGACTCTCATGGGGTCTGGTTTTGCGGGACACAAAGTGGTGCTGGGGGCCCCAGGCCGTCCACTCCAGGGCTGTGCTCTGACCCACGCAGCTTGGTCTCTGGGCCTTGCCTGGCTAATTTGTAGGTTTCTGTATGGTTGTGGGGCTACACCCGATGATTGGGGCCTCTCCATGTTCAGGAGCGCCAGTGTGGTACTAGGTCTCAAACCCTGATTGGCTTACTCCAGAGCATGTGCTCCATGGACGAGAGTGATAGTACAGTGGATTGGGCATTTGCCTGGCATGTGGTCTATGCAGGTACCTGTCCCCTGTGGTCTTTGATCCCTGGCATCCCGTGTGGTCCCCTGAGCACCGCCAACAGTGATTCCTGAGTGCAGAGCCAAGAGTAACCCCAGTGCATCGCAGGGTGTGGCCCCACAAAAAAATGAACAACAACAACAACAAAAAAAAAAAACGTGCTCAGAGCTTTTTGCCTCCACTTACTTAACTTAGCTTCCTCCAGGGAGCCCCGATTCGAATCTCTCCCCACTGGCTTCTTGCCTAGTTGGTGAACGGTCTGACCCGGGCACAGGAAGATAGAGTTCAAGAGGAGAATCGGGCTGAAATGGGGTTTATTGGAAAGAGAACTCACGGGCGGGCCCACAAGCCCCTGGAGAGGCTGAGGAGGACGGAGCCTCCAGTGTTCATGGCTTCCTGGGGAAGGAGGCCTGGGCGGGGTGCTTGGTCAGCACCAAGATCAGCCAGGTGGTCTTTTGTGGTGGGTTCCTGGGGGTTGGAAGTGGGACCCAGGGACGGTTTAGTCAGGCGACAGTGTCTCCTCTCTAGGCCTGGGATGGCCCCACAATTGGCGGGCGGAGTGAAATGGAAATTCTCCTCCGTCCTTTCCCAGGGAGGCAGCACCCACTCCACAGACTCAGGCTGCTCTGACACTTTCACTTACAACTTCCGCCCAAGGCTCAGAGCTTCTGTGGGGCGGGGTCAGCAGCTGTGGGGTGGGGTGGGGGTAGGGAGCTGAAGTCTGGGAAAACCCAGGAGGTGAATGAACAGCCACCTACCAGCCCCCTTGTTTGAAGAGCGCTGGGTTCTGGGATCGGGTGCCACACACATGTGCCTGGGGCCTCAGGCAAATTTCATTTATACTCACAAATTCACATGCAAACTCTCTGAGTTTTGTTTTTGGGGCCACACCCGTGTATGCTCAGGCTTGCTCCTGACTCAGTGCTCAGAAGTCACTCCCGGTGGTGCTCAGAGACCTTGTGTGGTGCCAGGGATCAAATCCAGGTCCTCTGCACCTAAGACAAGCAGCTCTGCTCTGCCTCCTTCAAACACAAGAGGGTTCTTATCCCCGAAGCTCCTCCAGAGGGATTGGAGTGATAGTTCAGCGGGGAGGGCATCTACCTTGCACGCAGCCAAGCCGGCTTCGATCCCTGACATCCCATAAGGTCCTGAGCATCTCAACATGTAACTCCAAGTGCAGAGCCAGTAACAACCCCCCCCCCCCCCCGGCCGCCACCACACACACACACAAATAACTTCAGTGTTGCTGGTTCCGTTCCCACTGCAGCTGAAACTGGCTGTGGCTGAGACCAGCAGCTCCCTGCTCGGAGAGCACGTGCTCTGGCCCTGTGAGCTGTTTCTGCAGCCCTGAAATATGAGTTTCCAAAAAGCCAAAAGAAAGCCAAAGGCAGTGGATGCAAAGGAATTAAGCTGCCCCAGGTTAATCCCCAGCCCCACATATGACCCCCCAAGTGATAAGTGAACTCTGAGCACAGCTCTCTGATCACCGCTGGGTGTGGTGCAAACCACCCCACCCCTCAAAAAAGTGCTAAGGGTACTGGCCAGCAAGTCAAAGGCCCATGTCCTAAGCTTGGGAAAAAAGAGGAAGGTTTGTAGGTGCAAAACCAGTCCGAGGGGCTGGAGAGATAGCACAGCGGGTAGGGCGTTTGCCTTGCACACGGCCGACCCGGGTTCGATTCCCAGCATCCCATATGGTCCCCTGAGTACCCCCAGGAGTAACTCCTGAGTATAGAGCCAAGAGTAACCCCTGTGCATCGCCGGGTGTGACCCAAAAAGCAAAAAAAAAAAAATAATACTGGGGCCCAAATGATAGTGCAGGGATTAGGATGCTTGCCTTGCACACAACTGGCCCTAGTTTGGTTCTGGCCCTGCCCATGGTCCCTCGCAATGCCAGTGACCCCTGAGGGTAGGGTAGGAGTAGCCCCTAAGGATTGGGGTGTGGGCTAATGCCCCCCTCCCAACCCCCAAAACGAGATAGCTAGAAATTCCATCCCTGTTTGGTCAAGATTATATGCCTCAGGTTGAAGAGAGATTGTAGGGTTGACTCTTGCCTGGAGAAAGAGAGAGGAGAGAGGAGAGAAAGAGGAGAGAGAGAGGAGAGAGGAGAGGAGAGAGAGGAGAGAGGAAAGAGAGAGGAGAGAGGTAAGAGAGAGGAGAGAGAGAGAGAGAGAGAGAGAGAGAGAGAGAGAGAGAGAGAGAGAGAGAGAGGAGAGCCTGCCATAGAGACAGGATGGGGGGGGTGGCTGGAATGAAACAGGGAACATTGTTGTTGGTGGGAATTGGGAAATGTACATTGGTGAAGAGACCATGTTGGAACATTATATAACTGAAATCCAATCAGGAGCAACTTTGTAACTATCTCACACAGTGATTCAATAACATTTTTTAAAACCCCCAAACTTCTCCTGCCTGACATGCAGTGGGACCCCTGCCAGCCATCTGGTCCCCCAAGCACTGTCAGGGGTGGCCCCTGTAGTGGGCCCTGAGCACAGAACCAGGACTAAGCCTCAGCATGGCCAAGGTATGACCAATGGCAACCCCCACCCCTGAATTTTTGAGCCCCGGAAAGTACCCCCTCTAATTAGGGTGTCGCCTTTCTGCAGCACAGCTGAGGGTTAGTGGTTGCTCCTGGGATAAAGCACCCAGGAGTTCTGAGTTCCACAGGGCTCAGAAGTCAAGTACCTGGTGCCCCAAGTGCCTGGAGCATCCCGCTCCCAGGAAGGCTGACCTACACTGCACTCCAAGCTCAAGTGCAATGACATTCCTCCGAGCTGCATCCTGTGCCAAAACAAATCTTAGAGAAGGAGCCAGAAGCTCCAGGGCCAACACGGAGCTGCTGGTGCCCTGCCAACGATTTCTGGGCGAGGCCTCGTCCTGGTGACACTGTGTCTCCTGCCTGCTGGCCTCGACCCTCCTGGCTCTCGTTTCTCAAAAGGCTGGACCTGACCAGCGGCCTCACATTCTAGCACAGTCTGCTCATGTGAGCACATCCCGCGGGAGCCTCCAGGGCAATTGGATGTGTAGAGAAAGGGCCTGGGGGAGAAGGTGATGGGGGGTAGGCGCTCCAGCCTAGGAGACCCTCAAGGAGATAGAGCATGGGGTCCCAGAGCCCGCCAGATCCCATTTCGTCCCGGGCATCAAGTGGCTGGGCACAGCCCTGGTGGCCCTGAGCATCCCCTTGGGGTGGGTCCCTGGCTTTCTTGGGAGCCCCACTCTAAAAAGAGAAGACAGTCGAGGGGGGCTGGCATGGTAGTACAGAAGATAGGGCACATGCCCGGGTTTGATCCCCAGCTCCATATATAGTCCCCTGGCACTGCCTGGAATGATTCCTAAGCAGGGATGGGTGAAGCCCAAAAGAGAAGGAGGAGGGGGGTGGAGAGATAGCACAGCGGGTAGGGCGTTTGCCTTGCACGCGGCCGATCCATATGGTCCCCTGAGCACCGCCAGGAGTAACTCCTGAGTGCAGAGCCAGGAGTAACCCCTGTGCATCGCCAGGTGTGACCCAAAAAGCAAAAGAAGAAAAGAGCTGAGGGGACCGGAGCAGTAGTACAGTGGGGAGGGCGCTTGCCTTACATACAGCTGACCTGGGTTCAGTCCCTGGCACCTC